TATCAAACATTGAAACAATAATCTACACATAACAACAGTGATTCTCTTACCCTTGACAGAACCGTCGCTGTAGATGCAGAACAACTGGGTGGCGGGCAGACGACTTAAGAGATCTTCATTCATGCACCAGGTCGTGGAGCTTGAGAAGACGGTCGACCTGGCTCGCAATAGAGAACGTCTGACCCTAATCGCAGTCAATCCGCCATACGAGGAACCCTCACGTCCCACCACACATTTGGCCTCGACCGATGCAGCAGTGACGAAGCGCAGCCCTGAACATGTTTAGAAAAGCTGCTGCCCTTGAGACCATGGCTATGTTTTTCAACACACCAGTGAAAGTGTTCACGGACGGCTCGGCCAATCTGAGAGAAATAACTGCTGGGTATTGGTGTGCTCATACTGTACCCAGCAGGGGGGGGGGACCGCCAAATAAAGAACTTCGGGTCCCTGTGGCACTGCAGCATCAAACTTTGATGCGGAGCTTGAGGCTATATTCACAGGGCCGATACTGTTGAAGACTCGCCAGAGTACCTTCAAAAACGAGTCAATCAAATGACTAGCGGCCATTTGTAGTTGGTGTGTTGGAATTTAGTTAAATAATAGAAATAAATAGAGCTTTGATCGAAGTATTGTGACATTCCTAGTTATAATTATTTAATTATAGTTCCTTTATTTATTTGTATAAAAGTTGTTGCACTTAAGTTCATTTATGTAATTTCCGATTGTGTGTTTGTGGGCTGTAAAATTTTGCACACAAAAAATGGATGCTATAAAACGTTGCACACAACTGTATGATGTTGCACACGAACAAGCAAACCCTAGAGGGAATATTGTCCCTAACATGTATAACTAGCACAGAACAATTTTGAATAGTAAGCGATATTTTATTGTATTAAAGATTCTTCATATTCACGTAGTTGAATATTTACATGTTCCTTTTACACGTAAGTGTAGCCAGGATGTAGCCTACAGCTTTTCACGAATCGGTTGCAGTATGAACATTCAAAGAAAATACCAGTTTAACATATGCATATTAATGTGCATGGTCGTCATTTCGATCATCTTGCTTTCACTATGTACTGGCAAAATTTACAGACGATAACCACGGTTCCTTCGCAAACCTCAGTCTTGTAGCAAAATCTTTTGAAAACACCACGATTTTAGAAACACACTGCGCGGTAGCAAACTTTGTAGCAAAGCCATAGGTCTGCGTTTACCCTGTTCATGACGGAATTTGTTTGCCATGGCCGGGGGGGGGGGGGTTGCTAAAGTCCTCCGGTAGTTTTTACTGTGCCAGGAAATAAAACTATTATAAAGAGCATGCAAGATTTTTTTTTTAAATCACTGCTGTTTAACTTTGTAGCAAAGCCATAGGTCTGCGGTTACCCTGTTCATGACGGAATTTGTTTGCCATGGCCGCGGGGGGGGGGTTGCTAAAGTCCTCCGGTAGTTTTTACTGTGCCAGGAAATAAAACTATTATAAAGAGCATGCAAGATTTTTTTTTTAAATCACTGCTGTTTCGTATTTATCATCATACTGTTGTTGCCAATCGCTTGATATCACAATGACAATTTGTATTTGTGGCGTAATTATATGTTGGAGTTAACATAATAGATACATAGGCTTCCTATTCATTTTGTACCCCACGCCTCGAGGTATCACATAAATGTTATAATGTCCTTCTTTTTTTAAAAAAATGGGGGGAAAAAACTACAAAGCAACAAAAAACAAACTACTGTGTGTGTGTGGGGGGGGGGGATTTCTATTTGCTACCCCTTTTATGCCTTAAGATTTAAAATCATAGGATAAAACTTATAATAATTGATAATAAATATTTTTTTGCATTTCAGTATTTTAGGGGATTTCTATTTGCTACCCCTTTTATGCCTTAAGATTTAAAATCATAGGATAAAACTTATAATAATTGATAATAAATATTTTTTTGCATTTCAGTATTGTGGGGGGGGGGGGATAAAAGTGTTTTACTTTAAAAAAAAAAGTATGGGTTAAAAGTTAAAATTTCACCCCCCCCCCCCTTTTTTTTTTTTCTCCAATAAATAATAAGAAATGCTTTGCTCTTTACAAATACTTTGCCACAGAAGTGTGAACTTACCCAATATCTTCCTCCCAACCCTCAAAATAAAAAGAAATATTATATAAATTTCTTTAAAAAAAAAAAATAAAAATACAAATATATTTTTAAAGATGGAACGTCGTTCCCTTGCGTTCATGCAGGACTAAGGTCCAGCGCACAAGAATAAAATATCAGTAATTATTTGGTTTAATCTTGCAGGCATTAAATGATTTTTTAAATAAATAGTTTTCAGTTTTAACAAGAGTGTAACATTAAATCTACAAGTACTGGTATTAGGCCAAAAAGGTAGACTCGCAAAGACCATGGCTTTGCTGCTTAAATCGCTGCGGTGTACGTAGGCAATAGCCAATGATTTTGCTAAATACACCGCCGCGGTATACGCAGGCCAAAGTCCGTGGTTTTGCTAAGTACACCGCCGCGTTGTACGTAGTGCGAGCCAAAAAAAAAAAGAATGACCTTTTAAATTTCCATTTAAATGAAAATAAACTTTAAAAACAACAACAAAAACAAACAAAACAAAAACATTTTGCTTAACATACCCTCGGCGTACTTAAGAGACTTAAAATAATTCTAGCAACATTCCAAAAATAAACCAAGGGGAGTGAATGCACTTAAAATGAACACATTAACACGCCATGGCGCGTAGAGTGTAAACGGATCAATGCCAATATCATTAGGGTTCAAATTGAATGGTATTGGTAGTTAAGTAAGGGTGAGTTGAGGCATAGGACTAGGACTAGAAATACTTGCTTTATAAAAGTTATATGCACGTCCCATGGCTCAAATTCTTATTGAGCAATAAAATCCATACGTCCTGTTCCCCCCTTTTTCCAGACAACACTCCGTTGTCTCCAGATAAAAATAAAAGTTTGTTTTTCCTGATACCGATGATCTGATATTTATATTATTTTAATCTTGAAAAAGAAAAAAAAAGGGGGGGGGGCAGTTATGAAATTATTCTGTTGACAATTTGTTTCTTATTATTCATTGTCATTTTTTAAAAATTGAAAGTGGGTGAGGGGTTATTTTTGGGCAATCCTCTGAAGTCCCGTCCCAAATTATTTGGTATGAAAAAAATTGCAATGCACACTGTGTATTGTTAGAAAACAGCAGAAATGTCAGTCATAGCTTTTGCAAATAACTGTCACTTTACAAACCAGTCAGTCAGTAAATACTAAATGTTGTCATTGGCACATAGCATTTGCAAATAGCAGCCGAAAACGTTCTGCTGGTGACTGTTGCGCCACTGAAAGGCCCCCAAGTAGCTGGCAAACAGATCGCGACTAGCAGGTCTACCACTCTGATAGTGTAGTTTACGTTTCGCTTGCATCCAAAGTCCTTCAATAGTTTATGTGTGAATGTCCTGGTCTACTGGATCAACAAATTCACGCTCGTGCACAATGACAGCGTGAACATAAATTCCGTTGTTGAGCTGACCTTCATTTTGATATCCTCTCCAAGCGTCCATGACGATTGTTGTCCCTGGTAACACATGACTAGTGATAATGCGCTTGAGTGTTTGTGCATCTCGACGGCCGACAACCTCTATCCAACATCGTCCACTAACGCAAACATGAATTTCAAAACAGAATGATGCCCAAGACTTTTAATTAAGGATTAATCATTGGAAATAATTTGGGACCGGACTTCGGAGGATTGCCGAAAATCATTGGAAATAAAATGGGACCGGACTTCGGAGGATTGCCTATTTTTGTGTCCATTTTGGGTTTGGGATATCAGAAGGATGAGTTTCCATTTTTTTTAAATTTCTCTTGAAATTTTTAAATTTAAAAAAAATAGACATGAGACTGCATAAGGCAAGAGGAGATCTTTCAGAAGGAACTATTACACTCTATCCACAGTCAACTATGCTTTGACCCTTGCCCTTACCCATTGCCATTGCTGAATATGCTTAGGGTGCATTTTGCACTACCCACACTGACCTACAAAATTAGCCTTTCACCAAAATGTAGTATTAGGCCAAGGCTCATGCCTAAGCTATAGCACTTAAATTTTACTGTAAAATATCATCATTATTGTTTCAGCAAATTTAACATTCCTATGAAATAAAATCCCCACATAACCAGAATATTCCACAAGATATAAAAATTAAATTCCATTGGGGATCACAAAGTTTGTAATTAGTAGCACTTGAAAAAAAATACAGGTTAATGATCTTTTAAATACAGCGCAAATATATGAATATTGGTAGTGCTTTAGTTTTTTGTTTTTTTTTAAATAACAACCTAGAGATTTAAACCAGGACACTTTCAAATACTTTGATATAAATACTCTCCCTCTTAAGTACCGGTACATATTTTTCTTTCATAGATCTCTCGGCCATTGTGTTACAAGTCATTAAGTACACACAAAAAATGAATATAATTAAAACATCTTGGGCTTCATTAAAATAATTACTATGATTCATTTCTGATTTTTACTTGTAATAATTGTCTTTATATTACAGATTCAATATGGGGGAGAGACAAGCCACAGCTTATGTGCAGCATTTAGTCTTAGAAGATCATTGTTCTAAGTTGCTGGAAAATCTTCATTCTCAGTGGCAAGATGAAACCTATTGTGACCTAGAAATTAAGTCTAAAGATGGGACACTAGCCGTTCACGCTTGTGTACTTTCTGCATTCAGCCCTAAAATTGCTTCTATTGTATTGAAACAATCTACGAAGAAAAATTCTCAATTGGGTAAATCGTCTTTGTATACAATAAAGGTAAAATTCACTCACAAAGTCATGAAGGTTATAATGGAAGCTTTGTACACTGGAGTTTTCCAAGCCCCATTGACAATTTTGGAAGAAGTATGTTTTGCAGTGAGATGGTTGAAAATAACATCTCTTCTTTACATCTCGAACAGACTTTCTGATCATCTGAAGTCAAATCTCGAGAAAAATATCTCAGGGCTTGAAAAATCAGAATCTACAAATGCACCAAACATTTGTGGGGGAAATGCTTACTCTGTAAAAGAAAGTGGTCATTTAGATAAAAAGCCAGAGTATATGAAGACTCGCTTCATAAACAAACGGAGGCCATCTGCAATAGTTCAAAGTAAGAGTAAAACCCCACGAACGAACAAGTTGCTTCCTGACCTTTTACAATACCCCGTTAAAATTGAAGTGGATGTTGCAGACGAGGATGGCAATGTAGTGCTTGAAGAAATAACAAACAATCGTGAAAATGAGCCAAAAAGGGAAAGAAACAATATCAGCAGTGATCCTGCTGTAAAAAAATGTTATCCGCTATTAGAAATGAGCGTTCCGTTAGACAAGCATGCAGAAGTGTATCTACCTCTTCCACCCTTAACCAAAAATGCTAATAGTAATAACCTGTCTAAAATGAAATTCCCAGAGTCAACAGAAATATTTAAAAGTAAGAAAACCTTGACCAAAAATGAGCATTCGTCAGCAAAACCAAAGAAGAAGCAAGGCTTTTCTGTAAACAATGCTTGCCCCTTTAAAGAAATGGAAAGTGGCATTGTTGAAGAAATAGAAAGTGATACTGTTAAGGAAGTGGAAAGTGGCACTGTGAAGGAAATTGCGAGTGGTATTTTTAAAGAAATGGAAAAGGGCACAGCAAAAGAAATTGAAAGTGGTATTCTGCCTACAAGATGTGACAGTGTGCTACGTGATGATTGTTCAGGTGAATCCATGACAGAGGTCACCATGAACGCCACCCCTGCTACCGGTACTGTAATAGAAGAGGTGAGGCTCATGTGTCTCCTAGTTATGGTCTTTGGGGGCACCTAACTTGATTTAAGCAGGATGTCTGATTCCGAGGCAGCCAGCTGTATGTGAATTTTTATTGTTTATTATAATGTAACATATAAAATTAGTTAAATTTGAGTTATTTGCCTATAGTTATAATAAAGTAACATTCTCTAGAGTAGAAACTCAGTTAACTATTTTTGACCAGATGTAGTGGGGTAATTAAAAAAATCTGTAATTAAAGAAGTTTTTTATTTAAATTAAGAGTGTAATTTTTTTTAATTTCTACCTTTCATAATTGGGTGTTAAACTCCTCACACCTGTTTCAGACTTTTACCCTTTGAATGTAAAAGTGCCCTACACACAGCCCACTGCAATCAGACCTTTAGCACTTTTAAACTAATTGCATAAATTCTTCATAAATAAACATGTCCTTCTCCAGACTAAATATGATGCTATTTGTTGTAAAATAATAGTCTAAAAAATTTATAGAATGACATAACCACACACAAAAAAATCTTTTTTTTTCCTTTTTGTACCGGGGTAATAGACATAGCCTAATCATATTTTATGCCTGTTAAACCTATCTGAAATACTATTCCATATTTTTAAGGACCATGAAAATATTTATCAACTTTAAATGGTCATTTTTAAAGAATCATTACATTATTTACTTCATATATTTCTTCGCTAGGTGAATGATAGCGACCCTGTGAAAATTGAACTTGATGCCATTGTAGAAAGCGTCCAGCCCCTGAAGTGTTCAAAGTGCTTCGAAAAGTTCACTGACGCAGGTGTGTACAACAATCACATCAACAATCATCCCACATTCATGTGCAAGGAATGTGGCCAGGTGTTCCATCGTAGATTCAACCTGACTCGTCATTTCCGCAGCGAGCATCTTGGTCGAGAATACCTCAAGTGTCGTCACTGTGGTTACCAAGCAAACATTTGTGCAGAGTTACGCCGACATACAACAACCGAACACAATGACCCCAAACCATTTTACTGCACGTATGAAGGCTGCACATTTCGACAGACAAAATATAGTGCCGTGGTTTGCCACATGCGAATTCACACCAATGAGCGGGAATATACCTGTGACAAATGTGGACAGACATTTGTTGCGCCGAACAGTTTATCGAGCCACCAGCGTACGTGCTACAATCTCCAGCAGTTTCTTTGCGATCTCTGTGGTCAGAGCTTCAACCATCAGCAAAGCTTGAAAAAACACCGTACCGCCATCCACTTGGGGGAGAAGCCTTACAAGTGCAAAGTCTGCTTTGATTCTTTTGGTGACCATCGCAACCTGAGCCGGCACATGCGCATCCACAACAACATTTTCCCATACCCCTGTCCTTTATGCAAGCAAAAGTTCAGGCACTCCAATTCCCGCAAAGCTCACCTGGCCTCCTGTCATAAGCCCTCAGAAACCGCTCTAGTTAACTTCTCGCTTCCCACAGCAGGGAATAAACATGGTGGTGTAAGCCACAAGCACACATCAAAGACAAGGAGGTTTACAGGAGTTCTTTCAAGCGCTGTTGATAAATCCAAGAAAAAACGCAGGAAGCAGACACGAACAAAGAAGGAGAGAGATGCTCCCTCACCAACAACAATTTATCAGTCCTCCTCCTTGACTGATGATTTCATAATTCCTCCAGATCCTAATTTTGATGCCAGCAACAGTAGCAATGACCTTGCACTTGTCATGGAGGAATCCCATCAGATGGGCAATTTTTCTTTTATTTCAAAGCCAACAGAGCTGTATGTCGAAACGGGTACCGACAGTGAGGATGCGCCGGGCTCCCGGTTTCAGATTGATGCGGACAGCTTTGATAACCTCCTAGATAAATCTCCCTTCTACAGCCCCAGCAGTTCACCTTACAATCAAAGCAGAGGTTCAGCTTTCTCACCTCTCACCAACAACTCTTGCTGCTCTAACGAGGTTGCTGCTGATCTACACCTGACACCAACTGAGACTGCTGTAAAAGGAACAGAGCTCCTGCAGTCACTGGCATGGCCTGGTAAACTCGCAGTGGGCCCAGACACCGCCCACGCCAAGGGGCAAATATCGTTTCTAGATCTACCAACTTTAACAGGGCCTCATGAAGTCAAACACCTTGATGATCCTCACATGTTGCTTGTACAAAAACAAGCACCTGCCTATAGACAGTTGACACCTGAACAGTTACCATCCCCCAACAGCCTTGTGGTCACCAAAATGATAAGTAACACGCACATTACCTTGCCATCGATCCCATCTTTACATTCTGACGCAGCGTCGCTACACCAGCTCAGACCACAGGCTCCAATCAGCTTGAACTTATCCACTCCCAGTTCCAATTCAACAAGTCTTCAAGCCTCCCCAAGTCTGGCTGGAGGGATGAATAATTTGACTGTTGAGGTTGTAACACCAGATGGGAAAACATTGGGTCATGTAATATTCAAAGCGGAGCCGAAATTTTGAAATCTAATTTTTGTTAGCTACGTTCATTGATTTCCATCATTCATTTTGTACCATAGTCAATTTCATTAGCATTATGTAAAATGTTGCTATTAAACAAGGTAACAAATAGAATAATGAACCTCGAAAAGGGATACAGTAAATTATGAAACTTGTGGTGTAAATTATCTTTGTAGTAAGGCTGTATGTACTTGCTTCATGTGCAGGAGGTAGGAGGTCTCTACTATTTTTTTTCTTTGATATCTCAAAAAACAGGATTTTCAGGATATCTGTATTTAAATGCGTATACTGTGTTAAGTCCCAGTAGCGAATTTTCGGAAGCCTGTCCTGGGTGCTGCAAAAGCAATGTGGGCCTCGATAAATGAGGCGACACCCGAGCTCAGACGTAGTTCTTTTTCTCTTCACCACCATGATTTTACTGGTTTCGTCTGTGGCTCTCCTTCCCACCCTGATCCAGAAGCTGCATGCATATCCCATGTCTCGACATGGCAACCAAGCGCTGGGAGTCTACGTCAATCAAACGGAAGTGTACATTGTTGTGCCATCATTCAGTCTTGCCATCCAGGCAGGATTCACTATTAGCCCATTCCCCAACCACTTACTGTCTCCTGGCATTCCATTTTTCATTGCTGGTTAAGGCCATTTTAGAACCAGAAAGAGGATTGGGTCTTTTGTGTCAGTGCGACGAGAACTTTCATGATCCTGGGCACCGACAGGGGTTCAGCAAACCTTGCCGCCACAGTATTGGGGTACGTTCCACATCACGACTGGTCAATCCTTTACATCCATGACGATCCAACTTCTGGGTCAACTTTAGGGGGAACACTGAAAGAAGGAGAATAAATACTAAGAGAAGTCACCTACTCAAGGGAGAGTAGGGGGCTAGGTTAATACATGACATGTTTTATACTTTGCTCTTTGAGAGGGGCCCAGTCTCCTCCTTAGGGTCCAGCTCTACAGCTGGATGTTTGGTCTTTCAGACACACTGAGAGGCCACAATTCAGAGGTATCCTGAAATGCTACAGCGGAGGCAGCACCCTGGCACATCTGGGCAGTCACTTACTCTTAAGCAGGACAGCCGCTGTCATGCGCATCACTGTTTTTTTTATCCTGCCCTAAAAGGATGAATACAAGATGATTAACATATGCCTTTTGACATGGTGGAAAGTTTTTGTTTCTCTTGTGTTTCAGGAGCATTCGGACAACTTCTAATTAAATAATTTTATTCCTGTGTCCCTACTTTCAATTATGACATTATTTTTTTATTACCGAGCACTATGGTTACATCAATAGGCAGGTCAACATTTATGTCATATTAGAGCTGTCATTGTCATGGGGATTAACAAACAATACTTGTCATTAACAAATTTTTTTTTTTTAATGTTTGGTGTAAAAACTAAAAAATTCATGTGAGATATTTTTTCCCCCATTGGTTGCATTAAAATTAATGACAATTTTTCTTGCATACCGGTAATTAATTTTGATTTTGGAAAAAATAAAATTATGTAAATAGGGTATAACAAATGCTTGGTTAGTTGGATGTTTTTGTTATTTGTCTTTTATTCGACTGTGTCGTCGTTAACTTCAGGGTTTATGATGGTATAGTCAGTGGTGTCACTTTCCGTAGTGTCGGTGTAAATGTTTTTGTGTTTCAGTAATATTACTATTTTTATTTCATTACATTACATTCAGAATCATCGTTTAACTACTTCTTCTAACTTCTATAGAAATAGAAGTTCATTTCATTTTTAATTGCACACGCAATGAACACAATCATATATATATTATTAAACGCCTCTCTCGCCCTTGCTGCACTCACACACAGCAAACATAAACAAATCATGATATAATAATAATAATAATAAAGTTCATTTCAAAAACACGCTTCATCCCCAAAGGCTCGAAGCGCGGTACAAAGTCAACAAAAAACAAATCTATAATTTACCACATTTAAAACAAACGCAACACTACAAAAACGAATTACAAGAATACAATGTCAAAGTCTTTCAACCCATTTCAAACGTGAGCAACACAGCTAATATGCATTAAATGGAAAATATGGTAGACAATCAGATATGTGGACCATATTCTTTAGAAAATTTAATGTTAAAGTGTTGTCATGTGCATCAATGTTTTTTTGTTTTTTTATCCTGCCCTAAAAGGATTAATACAAGATGATTAACTTATGCTAAAAGGTATTTGGTAAAAAAAATAATTTTAAATTAATGTTAAAGTGTTGTCATGTGCATCAATGTTTTTTTTTTATCCTGCCCTAAAAGGATTAATACAAGATGATTAACTTATGCTAAAAGGTATTTGGTAAAAAAAAATAATTTTAAATTCAAAGAACAAAGCCAGAAACCAAAATGAAATATCCAAAATAGTTTGTTCTTCTCACACAAATTCCCGGGTGTTTGGTATGCTAAATACTTGGTTACCTTAGACCTACCACTGTGCTATTTCGAATTGTATGTGCATCAGAACATTGCCCCATCACCAAAAAAAAAAAAAAAAAACTGCAATTTTCTTCCCTAAAAGAAATTTCCTTTACAACTAAAAAAAAAAAAAAAAAAGACAAAAAGAAATGAGCGAAACAAAAAATAGTTTGTTATTCTCACACAAATTCCCGGGTGTTTGGTATGCTAAATACTTGGTTACCTTAGACCTACCACTGTGCTATTTCGAATTGTATGTGCATCAGAACATTGCCCCATCACCAAAAAAAAAAAAAAAAGCTGCAATTTTCTTCCCTAAAAGAAATTTCCTTTACTTCTATGTAAAACAACTCTTCAGTCAAAAGGAAATGAGCGAAACAAACTATGTGGAAACCTGGGGAGAAGATAAGGACACAACAAAACAATTAATGTATTGGCAAGAAGCTTTCTTCGACCAAGAAACAACAGTATAAAATAAAAATAAACACTTAGCTGCAATGTAGTGTCCGAGAGGACAGCAAGAAGAATGTGAAAGAACCAAAGTAGGTTAGATAGTTCATACAGGTAAGATGGGACGGAAGAGATGAAAAGTAATTCCACTGCGATTGCTCATAACGAGGGGGTGGAGAAAATGGTTTTAATAAGTGAATCAGAACATGGCATTAATGCCATGTGGTGTCAAGGTTCCTTACGTCCGAAATATTTTTTTTTTCTAAGACCACCCGGTTGTGCATGTTTGAACAAGACACAATGGTGGTGGGTGATCGTAAAAGCACGGCGGTTGCTTCTAAATTCTATCGAAGTGTTTTGAGGCGGGACACTGCTAATATTGTGCAACTCTTCAGTCCCAGTGGTTCGTGAATACCAAAAGCTCTAAATCAGAAATGACTGTTTGAACAGTCAGGGTCTGAAGGAAATGTGCAAAAAAAAAAAAAAAAAAAAAAAAGTAAATACAAAAAGCTCTAAAAAAAAAAGAACTGTTTGAACAGTCAGGGTCTGAAGGAAATGTGCAAAAAAAAAAAAAAAAAAAAATATGACCTAGCTAGCCTGTACCTGAGGTAATGCCCATCGTTATTATTTACGCCTAGTCATGGGGCTCTTAAATCTTTCGTAAGTGCGCATTTTTTTATTATTTTTTTTTTCATTTGATGAGATCTAGCCTCGCACGTATGCAAAAACATCAAGGATTCGTCCATGAAAGACATCCTCAGAGTCAAAGACTGGGTGAAGGGAGGGATGGGGTGGGGGGGGGGCTTTGTGAACGTCGGCAAGCTAGTTTTGTTGTTAATGCTATACGCTGCATTGCGCCCACTGCGTGTACTCTAACGCTATGGCTGATCTTATTCCGAAATTTTTTAACCAAAAAATTATAATCACAAACCACCAAGGATGTATTTAATTTAATAAGAATTGCATAAGGCAGGTCACTTTAAATATATGATTGCTATCTCCCAGGGGACGGCTAAAATATTCGACCACCCTGCAGTGGCGTAGCTAGGGTTGGTGTCACACGGTGCGGTAGACTCATGATGTCACCCCCTCCCCCACTCCCCCTGGTTTCCACGATGGATTTTCTTCAAATTTATTTTTGAACGCACAATACTCTATAGTAAAACAAAATAATGCGTTCAAAAAGAAATTTGACCCAAAATTAGATCGCATGAACCGAAAATAAAATTTGATCAAATTTACGCTTGACCAAACTTCCGTTGGATCAAATTTCCGTTCGATCAAACTTCCGTCGATCAATTTTCCGTCGACGAAATTTCTTTCAAATAAATTTCCGGTAACAACCCATTCGAACAAGTAGGGGTGGGGGTGTGTATGTTGTGCGGACATCCTTTATGGGCAACTCCTAAGACGGCTAAGAAGACTAACACCCTTCCTATCCATCACTAATAGTAGTAGTAGTAGTAGTAGTAATAGTAGGCTACGACAGACTACGTAGACGTAGGTAAAAATTCAATACATTACATGGTTGCATGATACATCATTTGTTTAAAATTATGATTAATATCTAATATGTTACTGTTATACTGTTATAGTTTCTTTTGAATTCGTCACTTTTAGTGGTTAACTCATTGATTTGACACATTAAATATCATGATTCACAATGATTGACTATCACTATCACTTATTCAAATTATTACTAATTAAATTATTACTATTACTATTATAATTTAATTATTTTTTTAAAAAAATATTTAGAATTACTTAGAAAAGAATGATCTATATTATTATCATTGATAGGCCTAGTCAAATTAACCATAAAGAAAGAGCGATGAGGGGCACATTGACAAAAATCGATTTACTGGTTTTTAATTACAGTGCTATATAATAAATAGAAGGCAATATAATGCCTATTATATTATATATTTTATTTTGGTTGCTAAGGAAATAGCACTTTTTATATAATTCCCCGGAAACTTCTTGTAAGTACCATTTCCTGTTTACTGATAACATGATATCGAAACAAGAAATAAAGACAGGCCCAAAGGCCAGGCAGGTAATCACTTTTAATAAAGATAATATTCGTTTACTTATTAATTAATCATTCTAATTTACTTTTTGAATTTGCATAGCCTATCCATAAGTGACGTCACGCTAATTTTACCGATTTTTGCCCCCCCCCTCCGCATCGTCAAAAAGTTATACGCCCCTCCCTCAAATATAACATCATAAATATTTACCGATTTTTACCCCCCCCCCTCCCCTTCGTCAAAAAGTTATACGCCCCTCCCTCAAATATAACATCCTAAATCTCTGTCCCCCCCCCCCCCCCTCTCTTAATAAATCTCCATCTGTCCACTACTATCATTTACAAATCTGTAAATCTTTTTAAAAAATAACCTCCCATGGATATCATTAATAAAATTAATATCAAGTTGGCCCTATGATTAGACCTGAAGTCTAAGTCTAAAGACTAAAGACCATGAGCATAGTCATAGATAAGATAGTCATAGTCATAGTATACCGTAGACCAACATTATTTATGGAGTGCTAACATTTTTATTTAATTTATTTTATAATTATTTTTCAGATGAACACTTTACTTCTACTGATCTACTGAGATACGAGAGAGTGAATCACCAGCATATTTTCATAATTTTTTAACTGTAACTTTTCTCATGACAACAGTTGACTAACTTTATTTGGTTGTGCTGAGGACAATTAATAGTATGTCAGTATTGCCGGTCATGTCACCCCTTGAAGAAACAAGCAATTTTAATTCAGAGGAAGATGATGCTCCAGTGGTCTTAGTTTATCACTGTTGGTTATGTGTAGAAATATTTTTTGACAAGCTGGGCATTTTGCGCCATCTCCAGGTAATGTTTCCAATGATTTTATATGCGATCATATGAGACCCATTATTTTATTCTGGTAACATTTATAACTATTATATATTAGTCGTTAGTGAAACTCTGAAGTAACGATAATTTGTGTTTGCTATTGATGAGCAGGAATGAACTATTCAATTCTTGAATTAAACTGAACAGTTTAAGTTACCACTAAGTCTGTGTAAAGAACATTCATCTCTATTTTAATTTTCAATTATGGTATAAGAAATGCAACAATAAGCAGCAATGATTATTCACAGGTTAAAAAAAAAAAAAATAACTGTTAATTTTTGTGTAATTTTAGGAATATCACAAGGACAGGCCGGAACTTGAAGGTATTGAGAAAAAAATGAAAGTTCCAATCTGTATGGAATGTGGTGCATCTGATATATGTGAACATAGGAAGGAGGAGGAGGCAAATATTACCAGGGAGGATGCACAGTATGAAGAGGACGATGATGATGAAGATGACAGTGACAAGGTGTCTAAACCTCGTAAGTATTTCCGATAAGTGTCACTTTTGTATCTGTATTTATTTTGTATTGTTAGTAATGTATAATTAGTATATGCCGTACTGAGCATATAGGCTGCTGTTCATTGTTAGCCTCACCCTGTAAGTTAGGTGTTCTCATAAAATGCTATTTTACATTTATTATTTTTAAAAAGTCCTGACAGTACGCCACAGCTTTAGTTAAAATCCTTACATTATGGGGGAGAAAGTGAGGTCTGTTCTTGGAAGAATAGGGTACACTACACCTCCTTCCATTTTTAAATAAATGTATTTTATAAAATAAAATATGTTTTTTTTTCTATCTGAAGGTACTTTAAACTGTCTATCCTGCTTAAAACCATTTACCCTTCCGGAATCCCTTTATAAACATCGTATGGAGGATCACCCATTGGATAAAACGTTCCAGTGCCCCTTCTGTCCCAATGTATTTGCTGACAGAACTCATCTGGTCGTGCATAAGCGTGTACACACTGGCTCTCGTCCATACATTTGTGCACTGTGTGGAAATCGCTTTCCCAAGAGTTCTGATCTAAAGAGACATTCCGTGATTCATAGTGGTATACTTCTACTTTGTTTTTTAAAATTTTTGCATGCACTAATTAACATTTTTTTTATACGTATCTTAAAATCAGATACTAAGACCAAATTGTAAAGCTAAAAAGATATACTGAAACTTAAATGTTACAATTATGACTTTTTATCAATCCCTTTTCAGTGATCTTCTGATAAATTATTGTTTCATAAAATGTATTAAGCATCCAAAAATAATAATCTAATATGTTTGTGAAAAATTCTCTTGCTAAGTTGTTTTGCTTTCTTCAGGGAAGAAACCGTTCCAATGCGCCAGGTGTGACAAGACATTCACACAGAAATCCAGCCTGGAAAAACATGCCAAGATTCACGCTAAGCACATGGGAGGCTTCCCTTGCTTGCTGTGTGGCCTGGTCTACATGCAGGTGTCTGAGCTGAATGAGCATACACACTCTACTCATGGGGATGTCAACTATCAGTGTAAAATATGTGGAAAGATGTACATGGAAGAGAGACACATGTTGCAGCATGAGGTTATTTGTTTATTTTGGTTTAGTTTACAAAAGTGGAACCTGAATTATTTCTGCATGCTTGCCATAGAAAATGGGTTTATACAAAAATTGTTGCTACATCTTGAATTCCGTAGTTACTGGACAATCATTTATTAAGCTATGGTCTAGGTCAGGGTAGCAACCATGTCAAAGTAAGACTTAAAATTCATTTAGGCTGTCAATAACTTAGAAGTCTACTATTTAAGACACATTTTTTAGTTATTTATAATAATTCTTTTGGTCTTCCTCATGTCTATGAAAATGGTTAATGCATAGCAAGTCTGGCACGCTTGCTGTAGGTTTGTAGACCTCTGGTCTAGGCATAATAATTCTTTTTAAAAAAACAGATTTTTTTAGATAAAAATTGGCAATACTCAGATTAGTACATTTTTGTGCAAACCCATTTTGGTTTTTTTGAATAACAACCAATTTTTTAGATAATTTTTCATTTTTACTTAAATGTATGAATTCAGGTCCTGTTTTTTCGCTTTGCCTTATTCCATAGACTAACACTGAGCATTTTACACATGTGAAACACAATCTACTTTATCCATTTCCAGTTTTTAAAAACTCATTTTATCTATATAATTTCTTTTTATTGCAGTCATGGTAATGTGTTAACCACTTCATTACCGATGACCCATTAACACCATTAATATCTCTGTTGTACAGAAAAGCCATTTCCTGGTCAAACCATACGCTTGCAGCTTCTGTGACAGGCGATTTTCATTCCGTCCCCTGCTGGTCAAACATGAGGAAAAGATTCATCGGGCCAAGAAGGAGATTGCCTGTGATATTTGTGGGAAAATTTTCAAAAGGACTGAGAACTTGAACAGACATAAAGTAAGTTAGTAAACTTTGTCTGAAACCTAAATATCTGATCTACATGTAAGCTCAATTTGCGGTGCAGCAGGATCTAATTTTAGTGATTTCGAATCTCAATCCCATAAAATTATTCATTGAGAAGAAAAGAAATAATTTTCTAAAAATTTGAAATAAGCTTACTTTTCCCTTTAAAAAAATTGAAAACATGTAAAATGCATTATGTTTAATTTGTGTATTAGTATTTGAGTATTGGTGACCCACTTAAACTTTATAATATTCAATAAAAAAGAGCAAGGTGTCATTTTAGCAATGTTTTTTGTTCAGTAAATGACCCTTGTCTCAATTTAAATTAGTTAAAAAAATTAATTGAGCTAAAATTAGTGGACTATTCATTTGAGCAATTTCTCAGCCCAATTTAAACTTTGTCACTTGTCATAATTTGATTAATAAAAATAAGTCCTGTTACAAATCTGTTCGAGCATGAATTTAATTAATTTTTAAATTCAAAATCATCTCTAGTTGTCTCACACTGGTATACGTAACCACAAGTGTGAACAGTGCGGCCTTGCATTCACGGAGAAAGGATCACTGACACGCCACGTCAAGTCGCAGCATGATCAGCTCCGCCCACACACATGCTTCATCTGCGGGAGGGCCTTCACCCGCAAGATACTGGTTCGCAAACATATTGAAAGATGCCACGAGAAAAGCGGTGACGAGAGGGACTTGAAAGACCCGACAGGATATTTTAAGTGCAAACTTTGCAATAAACTACTGCGGAAATCTGGCATGAGGCATCACATCAAGCTGCACAAAATGAAAGGGGACAACTGGGAAGAAGTTTGTGAAAGGGCTGAAATGGGAACGTCAGGGGAGACAACTGGTGAAAGCAGTGCAAAGCATGTGGAGGTCAAGGAGGAAATGGAGGACGATGAAGGGGATATGTACAAAGACGAGACAGGAGAGGATGAAGATGAAAGTGGCGGAGAAGAGGACAATGAGGAAGTGTTTGAGGAGTTTGTTGTTAAAAGTGAGGAGCTTTCATTTGAGGAGATTGTTTAGGAAGGGAGAGTATTTTTTGTTGTTGCTATGATGGTTTAATCAGAGCTTAAAAATCAAAATCGCCATTTCAGGTTAGGCCTTAAGTGATTGGTTTCAGGTTAGGCCATTGGTTTCAGGTTATGCCATTAAGTGATTGGTTTCTTACATTTTTTTCAAGGTGGCAGAAACAGGTAGGCATTAAAAAGATTATGGAGTGTGATATATTGACTATACATTATAATTATTGTATCTTAAAATGTACCGGAATTTCTGAGACATTTCATAGGAAATTACAGTCAGCAGTCATTCTACTTGATCAGAGTTGACTCACTCGAATATCATATAAACTCCATAATGCTCACTCTAAGTCATTGATGTTATTTTTTTAAATAAACAAACTGTAACTGACTCTACTTTGGCAGTAGCTCTAAGGATCTCTTTTTATTTCTGTTTTTTTTTAGGGAACCCACTTCTAGAAATATACTTTAAAATAATTGTTAGAGCCCACAAAAAATTAATACCCTAATGATACAAAAAAATTAATACCCTAATGATATACAGAAAGATTATGTACAGGTATGAATTTTTTAATTTTTAAAAAGTCAATTAGATAAGCATTGGTGTAAATTATAATTTTTTTTAACCAGTAACTAGTTTCATCATTTGTTTTGATTGTTTTCTAATAAATTATCAGAAGTTCATGCCCAAAAATCAAATTATATTTGTATAATTATATAAATTATATTCACTCTAGACCAGCACTTTTTCAATCAGGGTGTTGTGAGAAGGACATAGAATTGTTGCAAGATAACATACAAAAAGAATTTTTTTAAATATGTTTTTACAAAATTATTGATGTTACCCACGATGTAACATGGGACCTGTAATATGATACATCTATTTTGATGCCATGGTAGCCGTTCCTTACTGAAGTATACAAAAAAAAATGTTCTTTAAATGATTCTATCATTAGTCACACAAAAAAGATTAAAACAATAGTCCTGGGCTAAAAGTAAAACCTATACTGAGGAAGTGTTTCTCAGTATCTCCTTGTCTCATGATTTTAGAGCATTGTTTCCCAATCTTTTACTCAGAAAAGTACTCCCACACATTAGCCTCACTTTTAATTTAAGAGTCCTGGAAAAATGAGTTGTACATAATTATCTATCACTTTGTTTTAAATCCTATATGTTAACTTCCCTGTTTGTGTTTTGGGCAAAATATTCTGACGGCTAATTGACCCACTTCCCGTCAATCTGAAACTTGGCACATAGACTCGTTGCCAATGACAACACATTCTATCAAATGTTTAGCCCCAACCCTCAAATAGCAGGTTTTCCTATTTTTCAAGGTGAAGAGGAAGGAAATATGATGCCACTAATTTCATGAAATAAAATTCCAGATAACTGCGCTAAATGAGATTCTTTAAAAAAAATATTGCAAGTTCTTTCTGTTTGTAATAATTTCTTTTGTTTTTCTGAAATCGTTGGTGAAATAAATATGCTGTGTAAAAGCGGGTTGGGACATTAAACTATTAATATGAAATAAAATAATAAAAAATGCATATAAAGGATTTATATGAACAACTTTGTTTTTATGGGTTGTTTAATTAATATTTTGTTGCCGATTCTTGAAACAAAAATTTGAATGTTGTTGGCGTTCATAAAGTGTTGTCATTTTCATGAACTTTTTCTTGCTTTGAAAAAAAAATTATTGTACATTTTCTTGAAACATTTTTTAAAGTGTAAAGTTCCTGTTCTTTAATGCAATAATTTCATTTTTATTTTATTTCCATGAATTTTAGTTTTAATTTAATTCTTAAAGATGGCTGTCTAATTACTTGTTATCATACTATGGAAACATTATTTATGCTATAGATATCAAGAAAATTTAATTGTTCATTATTATCTGTGTCATGAGTGCAATAATTTTGAATATAGATGTATTTCTTGATCTGTTTATTCCTCAAACAATTAAGCACAAACAATGGTTAGAGGAAATAAATTTAAGACTGGACATGTTTTTAGAATTATCCTTAATATAAATTGTTATTTTAAAAATATTTTAAATTGCTCTGCAATAATTTAATTAATTTATTATATTTATTACGTATGGGTAAAATTATATTTTGATGCATTAATCACAAGACTATTCTATTTTGTCACATCATAATTTATTTTGAAGAAGTTTCTGTGAAATACATTGCACCTAATGAAAATAGCAGTACAGATTCTGTTGAAATGTAATGATTGTTATTTGAAAATCTATATTAGTATTGTTTTTATTCATATTTTATTTATAAGTTTCCAGTGGAAGTTTTAACCAAAAGCATTCGATGTTGGTGGAAATAAAGAAAAACCTGCAAATCAATATAATATTTAATACAAATGAAACATTGGTGTTAATGTGAACCTAATTTTTAAGTGTGGTTGAAGTGCAACTCAAAAATAGACCTACACAATAGGATGCGATAATATCACTTGTACATTTTGAAAATTTGGTTTATAAAATTTGTTAATAAAATTTGTTGAAAATACATTTTGGCCATAGACACTTACCACTGTATTCCTTTAATGCTGTTAACAGAATATGGTACAATCCTTTGATGTTTATTATTTTCATAAATAATATTAATTTGAAAGAATCTACACTTTTTTACATTGTAAATTTAGGTGAGATTTTTTTAGCCCAATTTAAAAAAAATCTGAATCTTACAAAAAAATCTTTCTCTATAAATACTATAATAAATTGAGCAGAAAGTTTTATTGGTATAAACTCTTATAAAAAGTTATTTTTTTTTTTACACTCCAGGATAATTTTCATACCATGGGATAGAAAAGAAATAACTAAATTTTTAAAAATGTATGTTCCATTTCATTACGAATTATTTCACAATAGGTATAAGTGGCAGGAAGTCCAATAATACACAGTGTCAATTGTCGGTGCTCTGTAACTTTATTTAAATTGATAAGGAAGAATTTATTATTTGAAAGGAGCTGGCCTTAAGAAATGTGTTTTTTTTTTAAAAGATACAGCATATTTCTTCTAGGCATTTTCCTCTTTTAATTTGTTGATCTCATTAATTAGTGATAATGTTACAGGCATGCTAGACACATAGTCATTTGTGTACTGCATTGCTGAGCATTAGTCTGATGCAAAATTGTTACGTTTTTTTTTTTGTTTTTTTTTTGTTGAGTTATTTGGCTGTGAAATCTGTAATTTTTTAAGATATAGGTTAAGAATGGCTTTTGGTACTAAATTGTCAATAATGTCAAAACAGAGACTAATAACTTTGCAGGGTTACTTTTTTTTTTTTTTTTTTTAAAAATAAAAAAAAAAAAAAATTTTTATAGCACAAGTAATTTTTTTATGATTTTGAAGATAAGCATAACTTGTATGCAAATAATTAAACCTTTTGTACAACTGTATAAATTGCCATGAAATTTATAAGCGTAATATAAAACCATGGTTACAAATAACGATAAACACAGCTTCAATTCAATAATTGTGTATTTATGTCATTACATTTTAAACATTTTTATTAAAATCATGTTCTAGTCATTTTTAAAGAAACAAAGCACAAAGACCATTTACTTAAGAAAGAAACAAGTGTAGAATTTTATTTAACTTATCTTAGCTGAATTAATGGGAAGAAGTAAATTCAAATAAGTGTTTTATTTCGAGATAAAAGAATCCTAACAAAATATGGACAAGAGCAACAAATTTTGACACCACCATTAAAATTTCACAATACGAAGTATAAATTTTTAAAAAATAAAAAGATTTTTGGAATTTATTTTCTATATAAGGGGTTGAGATTTATTATTTATTCATAGTAGGTACCATTAAAGCCATGTCATTAACATATTTTAATAATAAATTTATATCAAAATTCCATTTGTTTTTAAAATTGGCAAACAAAAAGAAATGATGTTAACCTACATAACATTTTTTAATACTTAGATTTGATGTCAGTTACAAAAAAAAATTAAAAAATGCCATTCTGACCATCTTAAATACTGAAAAAAAAAAAAAAAAAATTGGTATTTTTATTTGTGCTTTAAGGACCTAAGAGTACAATGATATAGGCAGGCTTATGGACGGATATCATTATTTTCAAAGCTACAATTGTAATAGATGTAACTAAATATATAAACCTATTACTGCAGGAATCTTGCAGGAAAAGAAACAGCTGGCAGAAAATATTAAAATGGTCTTTCATTCTTCAGCATTTGTCACATGTGTTCTTTTTAAAAAAATGCTTATGACCTACGTGTTTGAGATGGCTGTAATTTTTCTTTAATTTTTTAACATTTATGTACAAAAAAAAAAAAAAAAAAGTTTAGAAATTATTAACAAAAGCAGTTAGCAGTGACATCAGAAATTGGTGGAGCTTGGTGAAAATTATGAAGAATACAATGATCTTTTTAAAAAAATGCTTATGACCTACGTGTTTGAGATGGCTGTAATTTTTCTTTAATTTTTTAACATTTATGTAAAAAAAAAAAAAAAAAAAGTTTAGAAATTATTAACAAAAGCAGTTAGCAGTGACATCAGAAATTGGTGGAGCTTGGTGAAAATTATGAAGAATACAATGTCATGTCATTAATATTTATAAATAAGAAAGCCCATTGGAGGAAACATTTTATTTGTTTTCGAATTCGAAATAAAAATTATTTTTGTGAAGCATTCTTTTAAAATAAGGTTCTAACCATTAAAAATTCAAATATTTAAATAAGATTAGGCTGCCAAAACATCTAAGCAGACTTTTATGGAAGAGATTTAACAAAATTACAAATATTAGATTGATAAAATATATAATTAAGTCATCATTATGTTAAGAACATCCACTTAAAAAAAAAATTCTATAACTTGCTGGCCTAAAGCCCCCATGATGCTTATTCAATAAAATTGGTCACCAACCTAAGGAGAAATGGCCCGGGAATGTTTCGACATTTTTATATAACTATATATCTTATTTATCTAAATATTTCTATCTGGTTGATTCTAATACTTTTTCTTTAAGCAACATAAACATTTGAAATCAGCAATTTTATATAGATACTATGTTTGTGTTAAAATGACTATAAGTATCTGTGTTGATGGAGTGATGGGAACTCATCTTGAGGAAGTACAAAGGTTCGACAGTTGGGGCAGGAGCGATTTTCTGCAAACCACTTTTTTATGCACTAGAAATTGAAAAGAAAAATCTATATTTTGCAGATAAACTTAAATGTTACAAAGGAAAAAAAATCTAGAATTAATAGTATGCACAATTTACAGTGGCAAATTAAATTACTTAAAATTTACAGTTCAGTTGCTGTATAAAATTTGGAAAAGAAATTATAATTTATGCATTTCATTGAGCTTTTTAATCTACAGAACAGAAAAAGCAAGAAAAATAAGTGCTCACACAAACTCACTGACGTAGGTAAATCAAGAAATAGCATTAATTAGCTTAACACTTTATATACCGATTTTAAGATAAAACTTAAAACAATTCATGAATCCTGTCTTTTATTG